AACTCTACCTCGGCTATTCTCCAACGCCATCACCTATCGCCGGCCGGCCGACCGGCCCGGCTATTGTGTAACTTGCTCTCGAGAGCACAGCAACGAATTCTCTTCCGCGAGGCCGATAGTAGTCGTGATCGAGCTTGCCCGACATCGCCCGATGAAGTTCCAATTAGCTCGTATTTCGGGCGCGGCCCGCCAATCTCGCGCAGAGATAGCAGCCCACGCCGCGCTATTTTCGCGCGACTTTGCGATTTATTTTATTCATTTCGCGGCGCGGCTGCTATCTCATCCCACATGTCTCCCGTTGATCCTGATACTTCCTGGTTAATCCTCGGTGCGATAAAGCTCGGATAAAGCGTGATGAAACTCGAACCTCGCAATTTCCTCGCGGAAACGATCGCGTCGTAAATTGCTCCGTTAGCTTTGCGTGGACGTTTGCACGCGATCATTGGCGAGACGCGATTAATTTTTCACGCGATTCTTACGAGCCGACGAAACGACGTCTCGAGAACGAGATCAGACCGCTCATCCGAACTGTATCGATTACACGGCGAGGCTACGCTCGCCTGCTCCTGAAGGAGTCGCGGTGTACCGAGGAATGAGACAAACGGAACTGCGGTCGAGAGGGTTGAGCCCGAGGGTCGCGAGCCGCGAGGTTGAACATCACTCAAACTACCGCGCACAATACCGGCAAGGTTGCCGGGGATTCGCGTTACGGAGGAGCTTCGTCGACGAATGTTTGCACGCGGAACGCCACGAAAGGGTCTTCGCAATGGCGTAACGCGATGTCGTAACGACGTAATCGAACGTGGTTATTGCGCGCGCGTACACGTACACGCGTACGTGCAAATAATAACGCGAACTTTCCTACTTTCTCCGGTCCTCGCCCGTTACATAACGACTTGATCGAGGGAATCGCGTCTTTTTTTAATCTCCTACGGCCGTCTCTCGTCTCCCTCTTTTTCCACATCGGTAACGTATACATATACCGGTAACGTTGTTGCTTTTCACGCGGGGCGCGGGATTACGGGAGTGAATAAATACGCGATGTGTTACATCGCGCGAACGCAAAACGATCCTTTCATCGACGAAAGCTAAACGCGCTCATTGTGTGTAGCCCGCGTACGGGCTACACGCGTTCTCACAGGAAGACCTTTCACGGAGAGTGAACGCGGTGAACGCGATTTATCGACTTTGCGAGACTGAAATTTGGATCAGCGAGGCGAAACGAGTTTCCTATTTTTACATGGGACTGCATTCTGTAATGCGCGATACACTCTACGGTAATATCTGTAATTTTCCCACTTTTTTCCATGTTTCCGGCTAGTTAGAATTTCACCGATCGATCGTGAGATTGATTAAGCCGCGCGAGACCGATTCAATTAATTTTGACAGCGCGCAGGAAGTGCGCGCTACCGTTCGCCGAGGGAATCCATACGGAGCACGGTAACGAATGCGCCGTTCGAACGGGGGGAGGGGGGGGGGGGGATATCCAACTTACGTCGATTTTCTCATCGCGCTCGCAGGCGGCAAGTTGAAAAACGATTTCCCAGCGACGACGTAGCGACCAGCTACGCCACTGTGCGTAGAGTGGCGAAAGAGAGGAAGAGAGGGAGGCTAACAATGGCCGCCAACCAAAACATCCGATAAATCTAACCGGCCCGGACCTCAAGCCCCGAGGGGTTTTAAACTCTCTCACCCCAAACGCCGACGCGGGCGCAACCCTTACATTACGTTACACTCACTCACGGAAAAGGGAGCCATGCCGTGTGCTATTGCGGGGCGATACGAGCGGCGGCGAGGGGGTGATGGCAGCGGGTGTGCATAGAACGGCGGTGCCGCGCGATGGAGACAGGGCAGGGCGGGGGGAGGGGGGGGGCGAGAGGGAGAAAGAGAAAGAACGAGAGCGAGAGAAAGAGAGAGGGACGTGATGTGCGATCTACGAAAAACCAAACCGAGAGAATTCCATCCGTCCACCCGCCTCCTCCTTCTCCACTCACCTCCGTACCTCCGACATCCACCGCTCGTCTAACCCGGCTAACCTCCTTCTACCGGTAAACGTAACGAGATATCCGCCGCGCGCGAGCGTGGGTTGTGTACCGGCCCTGACGAAATTTCGACGAATTTGTTTCCGCCACCGCATCCTAATTCGTTTTGTTCCACCCTATTCGAAACTGCGGTCCAAATTCCGACTGGGTGAACGCGAGCGCGCGCTCGCGCACTCTCGAGTTACGATGAGAAAGAGAGAGAGAGAGAGAGAGAGAGAGTCACACACCACTACAAAGAGATTTCGAAAAATCATTGCAACAGCGGGCTCATCGATCTGCGATGAAAAAGCCATCTGAATTGTTGCCATTAACGCGGTTGCCATTATTAAACACGACACTAAACGTCGCGCTAAACGTCGCATCAGAGACAACAGCATTCTGATAACAAAAGAACAAGCTGTATCGGCGAGACGCGATCGCGAAAAAATCGCGAGCGATGATGTTGCTCGGAACGTTGTCGCAGGCTGCCGGGAGCGCGTTCTTACGAAACTCGAAACAACACAATAACGACAGCTCTCAGGAACTGCCGCGATGCGCGTTCTCTTCGTAATAAGCGACGGAACGGAAATATGCAGCCAGGGAAAACGCGGAGGCACGCTAATGTCATCGTCGTTGACTCGCGGAGATACTCGACGCTCGGCGCGCGACTTATCGAGAGTTAAACGACGCCTGGAATTCCAGAATTCCACGACAGTCATACATAATCAGTCGCGTCTACGATATTCTGCGCGGTCTGAGTGGCGAAGCGCGTTTCCGCGTCGAAGAATGTCGATAGCTCTTAACTAGACGCGGGACCGCGTTTAAACGCATGCGAGCCCGACGCGCTGCTCGCTCCAAGTACGTCGAGGCAATTTATAGTTAGGTAGATGGAGGGAAGCCTGCGCGAAGGAACATGAAGATGGCGAATTCGCCTTTTCGACGCGCGATTGCGCGTTTGTGTTCGCCTCAGGCGACTAAGCGGAGAATTATTCTACGGTCGGAGGAAACGATCAGCCGCCCCTCTCAGCCGCGCGTCGTCTCTCCGCCCTGAAGGACGAATGGCACGTTCGCCATCGGGGATCCCGGGAACGTAAATGACGCCACGATGATGGGATTCGGCGAGATCGAAACCGGAGTCGCGGAATTGTGCATCGCGCGCGCGCGCGCGCATCGGTTCGCGCAGCGTCTTCTCGTTATTCGAGCGGCGCGCCGCGCCGCGTCTGAGTCCACTCGATGCTCGCGAACACGGAAAAAAGGATTCACGGGAGGCCGCGCGAAACGAAAGGTGGAAAGGAGAAGAAAAAGAGGAAACCCTTTTCTCCGGAGCGGCGCGCGAGCCCAAGTTCGCCCCACCTTTCTTCGACGGATCGGCTCGAGAGAGGAGCGGCGTCCACGGCGCGGCGGGCCGCTCGCTTCGTGGGCGGAAGGAAGAGGTCCAGATGAGGAGAACGAGGAGGACGAGAGGCCAGAAAGAGGGACAGACAGGTCGGCCCGAGAGAGGAACCCGCGGCTGCCATGGTTACCGTCGCATTCCCGCCTCGCCTCGTTGCCATGGAGACGGCGGCACCCTGTCCCTCTCGTTCTCCTCATCGCTCTCTTCGCTTCCTCTCGCTTCCTCTCCGGCCTGCTCGCTCGCTCGTACTCGCGAAATTCCGTCCTCGTCGCTCCCGTGCGCCAATCTTCTCTCCACGACGACGGACGGCTCTCGCTCTCTCGCTCTCTCGCTCTCTCGCTCCGTCCGTCCTTCCTTCCTTCGCGGCGGCGGCGGCGGCGGCGGCGGAGGGGACACCGCCGCTCCACGGAGAGAGGGAAGTCACGAAAGAGAGGAACACACGGAGGAGACAGCCCGCGGACGCATGCGCGATACTTGGTCCTCCGCGACGTCGGCGAGCACTCGAGATGCCACCCCCGAATAGTCCGATCACTTATCAACCGCGAGTCACTCGCGACCTCGTAATGCACTCTCGTGCGATGCTTATCTGCTTAACGGTGTCGTTCGAGAGGTCCTCGCGAGATGCCTGTCGTCGGACAGGCTCGACCGATGTCACGTTGATAAGCAAACCTTGGTATCGCGGCTGCGTGTGCGACGACGAGATGAAAGGACCGAGGGGCGGTCTGATGAAAGAGAGGCTAGAAGAATAAAAGAGACTTTCCCCTCGTAAAGCATTGTTTCGCGAGCGAATGATCGTTTTGAAAGATATCGCGTTGCGATTGGGCGTCGTTCGATCTGGCTGTCCGCATACACGTGTCTACCGACGGCGATGGCTCGCGTGTCTCGCGAGCTGTACGCCACGAGCGCACAACGCCCGGCTTAATTTCGAAATAATAAACAGACTTTTCGACGTTACGCCCGCCGAGCGAAATATTCGCGCGCGAAACCAACGAGACGTAAAGCGCTCTGTTTCGTAAACCGCGGTTCTGATTGGCCGTCGCGTCACTCGATATCAATATTTATTCAGCGCGGCGAATGCCCGAGGCCGATTAAAACTTGTTTATGCGGCCAACGATTCGCTCCTCCCACCGGACGCGCACGAAACGCACGCATAAAAGCGAATTCTCTCTCCCTCTCTCTCCCACTCCCCTCCACCTCTCTCTTTCTCTATCTATCTTTCCCGCGCGCGTCTTTGCGTTACGCGCGGCACGCATGCATTAAAAATGATCGAAGATAAAGCAGGTCGAATAAAAAGTGGATTTATATCCAGCAAATGTCATTACACGACACTCGCAACTCCAAGTTGCTTTTGTATCGTCCTCGACGAGAAGTGATCAAGAATATTGGCAATTAAGCGAAGAATTAATCGCCTCGTAAAGATTACGAAGTCGCGGAGCGATTGATGCACCGATCGATGCGCGACGAATCTTCGTCGCTCCGCGAAGCGGCGCGTCTCGATTAAAGAACGACGCCGTGTACGCTCGTTACAGGCGGCACTAGTTAGACGCAATAGTTTCAGATTAATGCGAAGAGAGAACTCGACTTACCGGGACTGCCGAGGAAGACGGACGAATAAAGAACGCCACGACGCGCGTCGCTCGCCGCGCGTTGCGCGTCAGGTGGCGAACTCCATTCTCTACGCGGACACCATTTGCCTGAAACACATTAATTTTTTCTTCGTTAACATCGCTACATCATGGGTTACGCTACTCTCCTCCTCGGTCGTAACGTGCACCCGACACAACAACGCTCCCCTCGTCGGCTCCTCAACTCGCGACATTTAATGAACACATTTCCGAAAAGCACGGTTACGTCGCACACGCGCACACGCACACGCACCGCCAGGGACGAGAGCATCGTGTGCGTCTGTCAAAAAAAGAAACAAACGTCAAGGAAAGAGAGAGGACCGTGTGTCCATAAATCTCCGCTTTCCGTCGAGTCAGAGTCGTTGACACGCTTTAAATACATTAAACCGAAGAAAATATCGGGGAGTGTTAGCGGCTTGAATAATGAAAAATTCCTCAATGGATTTGTCCCGAGATAAAACCCGTCGGCGGGTTACACGAGGTCGCAATCAAAATACTGCAGGAAAATCGTGCCGATAACACGAAATAGCCTGTTCTCGTGTAAAAATAGATGTTCCCGTATCGATCCCCGCACGAAAGCGTTATTATGCAAGAGCGCCACGGAGAAAAAGTATGCAGAAAAGGTCGATGTGGAGGAAGCAAAAGATTCGTGATCGTCGGCGTCACGACTTCGACCGAGAGAGAGAGAGAGAGAGAGAGATTCTATCGCACCACTCAGCTTCGCAGCGTGTGTGTGTGTGTGTGTGTGCATGCGCCGTTAGTGGTGCTTTCGTTCTTTTCCCGTCGGACAACATGCGACGTGTTACCCCTGCGCGATTTACTCCGCCAAGGAATAATCCTACAATTATGCTGATTATAATAATTACTTAAAAGTGCAAGAAAACCACTTACGCTAAATCGCGTGGCATTCGCCCGACGATTGCATTACCCAGCGTGATATTAATCAATGCCATCACGTGAGGCGATTGAACGGTAAACGGTGGCGACTGTAAGCACAGCGTTCTCTCGCGCGTACGTAGCACGTGCGCGCCGAAGAAATTCCGCGGGCGATTCCCGCTTAATGCGGCGTATTTGCGCGGCGATATCGCCGCGCTGTATCGTCGCGCTTTATCCAAATTTATCAGCTTCACAGCATAGTACACCGCGAGTAAAAGTACGCGGCGATATGCCGACGTGCAAAATATTACCTGTAAAATTTCATTCAGAATTAACGACAGACTAGCAATCTATTGTCCGCGCGTGTTCGTGCAGCGACGCGAATTCCAGAATTTCCACCCTCCAACTGATTTATCAAGCCGTGAGGAAGGAGGGGGGAGATGGGGCACCACCACCACTCGCGGCTGCAGTATTGCAATTTTCCAGATGCGAAAATAGGAAAGGTATCTACTTTATTTCCAGGGAGATCCCAGCTGAATGAGGATACACGGTAAGAAAGGGTGGCGCCGGGGGATAAGAGTAAGCCGCGGAGCGAAGTAATTTCACACGAGAGAGTAGGGTCTTGCTGGGTGAGAGGAGATCCCGCGGAGCTATAGTCTTATCTCGGAAATATAGCGCGGGCACATCCCCCTGCGAAAATTATATTCTCGGAAAGCAGAAAATTGCTTCGCTTCAGCCCGTTCTGCACGAACGCACGGCGCACCGGTATTATTAGGTTCTCGTAACGTTTATTTCCTTTTTCTTTCGTTCGCGCGACGATCGCGTATCGCGTATCGCGTATCGCGTATTGCGTCGCGTCGCAAAATACGAGACACGAGACGAGGCGTTGATTTCGCAAATCGCAAACTCGCGAGAACAAGCTACCACCGTGGAGTCCGCTGCGCGACCAGTTAATCTCGAATATCATTTCGAAAGCCGCGTTCGATCGGGTGTAACCCACGCGCGAGCTCCGAGCTAATGGATTTAAAAACGAATCCAACGATGCTGATTATAGTGTGCCGAGTGAGGCACGTTTAACTCGCTCTCTTTCTTTCTCTCTCTCTCTCTCTCTCTCTCTCTCTCTCTCTCTCTCTCGCGGCGTTACGGTCACGGTACGTCCCGTCAGTTTCTGGTTAAACGAAATGACAGGGCTACGCCGGTGATTCGAAAATAATGGTTATTCCGGCGCTAGGGACAGCCGGGATCGCGTTAATGACGAGAGATTAGCGTTTCCGACACCTGACCCGCGAGCTGTGAACCCATCGGGACGAACGAACAAACTGCTCTTTATCGATGACGAGTGTACGAATCGAAGGGGGGCGGGGGAGGAGGAAAGACGCGCGCTTATATATCCAAGTGATGCGAGATTCGCTCCATCGCGACGCGGTGGAATACCATTCGTCGCGGTGAATCCCGTCTTTTCGCGCCACGGATAAGTGAATAAACGATATATCTGGATTATTCAAAGTCATTTGCTCGCGTTGCCGACCCATTACGCACCGGCGGGCCATACGTCACAGCCGTTCCGAAGTCCTCGGAGGCGCAGAGGACTCGGGATACCTGTAGAATCCTAGGTCAGAGGTGGGGCGGATGGATGGAGATTTATAGCCGCTAGGAGACAGGCTGTAATCATACACATCGCCCCGTCTCGACTCTGTAACTGTGAGTTACCGTGGGAATTCGAAAAAGTTCGGGAATTTCCAGCCAGTATTCTCGGCCGAGTCGCGCGATACACGCGACTAATGTCCCCCGAATCCCGCGTGAACGCGCGTTTCGAATCATCGCACGCACAATATCAGCTCCTAACCGTAAAAAGATCCATCTCCGTGTAACAGGTAACACCGATTGAGCCACGCTCTCGACGGCTGACTAATTAAACAGAGGGATATATATGATCAATAAAATTTCTTTTCGCCGCGAGCTCCGAATTTGAATTTGTAATGCGACGCTCCTAAATATGCCGCGAGTCCCTTTTTTATTCGTATCATCGTATCATCATCATCGAGCTTGTAAACAAATGTAGATTAAATTCGCGTGATAAATTATCCTGCGCCGCTGGTCCACTCGCTCTCTCGTGAAGCACCTATAACCGCCGATTTCACGTCCGCGAAGAGAGCGTCGTGTTTGGTAACGAGCCTGAGACACTTCTCTTTGAGAGATTTGGTAAACGGCATCGAGAGTGAGACGTCCGCTTTGAATGATCACCGTGGCTAAATTGCGGGTTAACTTAGGTCTACGGGTTCGCGTGTTCGCGACAGTCATGCCACGGGGCCGAGTCATGTATCGGGCGAAACCAGACGAGGAAGAGGAGGAGGAGGAGGAGGACGAGGAGGCGATCGGTGGGAGACGGATGGACCTCGTCATCTTCACCAAATTCGTACGGCCACGCGCGCGCGCGCGACGCAAACTCCTGCTACGGCTTTATTTTTGCGCCCGCCAGCAGCTGACGGATATAAATTGGAATGTAATGCGCCTGGCACGCGACGGACGTCGCTCGCCTTTGTCTGCGTCGACGGAGATGCTCCCATGACTAATTTGTTTCGACAAACAAAGCGAGTTCCTTGAAGAACCGCGCGCGTCTCCACTTTCGACGGCCGCTGCTGGAGGGGTTGTTGTCGCGCGTATACGTATTTTTTCAACGTGCACCCTTGTGCGTTCGTCGTTCACCGAGCGTCGTTTGATAGCGATTTGCCAGTAATTGACGAAAATGCTAATTGTCTTAAAGTTATTACGTTGTCGCGGAATAATTGTCGCGCGGTCGCCATATCGAAATAGCCTCAAGTCGAAGTAGAGAGACTCGGAGAGAGAGAGAGAGAGACTCGGAGAGAGAGAGAGAGAGAGAGAGAGAGAGAGAGCATCCTCTTCGACATCACGGTATCCGGCTCTGCCTACCGCAACGGCTCGTAGCGGATGTTATAGATAGGATATAGGCACGTACCCAATAACCCCATCACGTCGGAGATGCTTCCTCGGTATAAATAAATCAATATAACTCGCTTCCACCCTTAGACGCCGCCCTCTTTCGCCGTAAGGAAGTGACGTATGAGGCTCGCATCCTCAAGGCGAGGGTTGAGGAGGCCACCCTGTTATTTCACAGTTAGGCTCGTCCTCTCGCTCTCCCCCTGGCTCCCTCAAGCATCCTCCTTCCTCGTCGTCTTCCACTATCCAGACCGACCTGTGCGTCCCTAGTGCCGCTTCCAAGCGCACACGAGTCCCACGGGAAGCTTTTGTCCTCGAGCTGTAAGCGACTTCCTGACAGGCCAAGTTTGCACCTGCTCTCCTTCTGGCTCGCCCGTCTCTCTCTCTCTCTGTCTCTCTCTCTCTCTCTCTTGCTCTCTCCTTCTATCCGGTATCTCTTTCGTTCCTTCGCTATTTCGCGTCTTGCTTTCTCTCTCCCTCTCCGTCTCACTCTCTTTCTCTCAGTCTCTCCTTCGCGTGCTCCGCCTAACCTTACGTTGCTCTGCACCACCACCACCGCCACCGCCGCCACCACTACCACTTCTACCGGAACACCATACCACCCCACCCACCGACGTTACCGGCGCGTAATTTATTCGGGATGACTATACTCTCTCTCTCTCTCTCTCTCTCTCTCTCTCTCCCTCTCTCTATCTTCGACCGAAGGTAATCCGTAGATCAACGCGTCGGATAAACCGGGCGTGTCGTTATGTACGTTCGTCGAAATTATTTTCGAATAATCCCCGCCGTCGACGCCTCGAACTTACTTATCTTAATTAAAATTACTCCCGCCCACGGCGAGGCGCGGGGCAAGTCGGACATTTGCGCGATTTACGGTAATAATTGGCGGTAGACCGACTCGTTTAAATGACAGCGTTTATGGCTCGCTCGTCTTTGTGGAAGATGCGAGGAGATTGCTCTCGTTATAAGGACGTTTACGCGCGGTTATCGTCTCGTGAGATGATCCAACGGCCGTTCATGACGAAAGTACCAACGCACTCGTAAAATCTGAGATACCGTTTTGAAGTTTCTGAGAACATTCCTCTGGGCTTCGAGAGAGAGAGAGAGAGAGAGAGAGAGAGAGAAAGAGAGAGAGAGAGAGAGAGAGAGAGAGAGAGAGAGAGAGAGAGGGAGAGAGCGAGAGAGAGGGTGGGGGAGAGCGAAGGCGAGTTCGATGTTAAATTCTGAAAGATCGC